CGCCACATGCTATACACTGTTAGACTGATCCTTCTTCTTGGTGTAGGCAGAAGACATGGATTGCAACGCTTTGTTTACAAGAATGACGAAAGTTGTCAAATTCATCTACCACAATGTATGTCTTGAAAATGGACCTTGGATGCGCTGTTTCGGCAAATTGACATGGCCGAGGATGTCCGAGCTTATTATTTCAAACTTCCTCTCGAAGGTTTGCTTACAAACACTTCACTTTTATTGGTCAGATTTATTTTTCTTTACATTTTGATCTGACTTCGGTTTGCTGTGCTGACTCTTTTGTATCTGTTTACCCAGGTTGTCCCTGATGATGCTTCAAAGTTGGCTGATTTTCAGAAAGTTATGAACTCTTCTTCTGAATTTGAGACTGTTTTGAAGGATATTATGTTCATTTCCGAGTCCGATAAGAATGATGAAAGACTCAGCAACTTTGCTGATAATGTGGAGGTGCACTTTGCTGTGAGGAAGAAGACGGAAATGTTGGCAAATGCTAGACAGTTGATTCTGAAATGTGACTTTACTGTTCCTGAAGTAAGTTTCATGAAAGCTATCTTGTATCCTTGTGTTCACCGGCTGGATTAACATACTAACAATTAGCTATCAGGAGTTTGGCAGCAAAGGACATAAATTCAGAAATAACAGACACAGCGAGTGCGCTGTCAATTTGCTTTTTTCGTCAGAGAGGTGTATAGTGTCTCATGCTTCTAGCCAGTTGATGAAGTTGGTGCATCAAACACTTAAAGTAAGATAATTATTTATGTAGACATTGCCTCACTCATTGCTCATTATTATGATTTTCATGGCACTAAGCTTTCTGTTTGGGCAACTTTTGAACTTATGATGGAATTATTTGTAGCTGTGGCTTGTATAATGTTAATGATATCACAACTATTTTGATTTTTCATGTTCAATTGGACCACGTGGATGATTCTGATTAGCTGATAAGCCCATTGAATTATCAAAACTGCCACACTTAGAGTAACTTTACATGAAACATTTGTTCCTCCATTATCTCAGTTATACCAACTCTCCAGAATTTTGAAATTTTGTCATTTCACTATTTGTTTGGCATGTTTGTGATTTCATGTTAATAGATAGAATTGATAACTTGTTTATGAATCTCTGTAGGATGTTTGTTTGTCATCCCCACGAGTGGCGTTGGAATTCTATCATGCGGCACGAGATGCTCTATTGCTTTATGAAGCTATTATTCCAATTAAGGTATTCATGTTGAGGAGTTTTTACATCAATATTTTGAATATGAATTCCTGTATTATTATTACATGCTTACTAGATACATAACTCATTGCCATTAGTATCTGGCACCTTTTCAATGTTAGAGAGATGTCTATGGTATTCTGAATTTAAATTTGCATGGTTGTTAATAACTTGTTCAGAAAGTAAGAGTTGCTGGCTTTTGATATTTACTTATTTACATTTTACTATGCCAAATGGTTAGTTATGCTATGCAAGATTTAGGTGCTTCTTTAATTAGTATTTACAATCAGGGTGATTTTGTACTCATAAAATGTTTTACTTACCCCACCAATTTATTTGGTTAGAAGACACTTTTTTTCCAAAACAGAATCATATACACACATTCTAATTCTAGATAATTTATGCGTCATCTGAAATTCCGCCATCTAAGTTATGGTCACACTTTATTTTGGTGTGAACATTAAGGAGTAACATTTGTTTAGAATAATTATTCATTGAGTCTAAAACTTTTTCCATTATATGCTGTTATTTTTTCCTTAAAACTGTTTTTCAGTAATTTTGATTTTATTTACCAATTTCTGGATTTCATTTCCAAGAAAAACCAGTAGGATTTTGGGAGTGTAGGTGGTGATGGAGGCAGCATCCTTAAATATTAGTGTGGGTGTTATTTTGACATTAGTTCATTGCATTAGTACTAAACATTTCATTTTTTTCATAAAGTGATGTATAATAATACCTGGTATACAGACTGTCAGATTCTAATTATCTTAACATAACTAGTTTCTCATTTGTGAAGTTAGAGCGACAGCGTGATAGCATCAACCAGGCGGCTGTTCTGATGCACAATGACTGTCTGTATCTCTCTCAAGAAATCCTGGGCCTGGCATTCGAGGTATGATGAATTGTTTGCTATTGTAAGTCCTGAGTATGTGCTCCTGGCCACCTGCTTAAAATCTGTAATTTCTGATTGATAAATTTTTGTGTGACAAAACCTGTTGTCTAGATTTAGCATTCAGAATAACCGTTTATTTGACCACCAGTCAACCGCTATGAACTGAGAATTGGAATATCTAAAATTCTTTTTTAGCTTACACGTCTATCATTATTGTATTCAGTACCGGCCAGATTTTCCTAGCTTCATAAAAGAGCATGCCATATTTGTTGATATAGCTCCTAGATTACAGCTGTTGGGAGAAGACATTCTTCAGCAGCACATTCAAGTTACTATATCCAACTTGAAGGAGGTATGGATTACTTTAATATTGATATGATTTATTTTGACATATTATGTATCTGCTTTCTATTGATGCTACCAATTTATGTTTTTTCTTTTCCACTATTATGAATTCAGGCTGTAGATGGCGCTGATGGATTTCAGAATACTCATCAAATGCCACAATACGAGTCTGTGAAGTTTAGTTTAGAGCGGGTGAACCATATAACTGTATCTTTTTGGTTGTAAAACACTTCTGCCTATGTTGGTGTTGTTGTGATGTCATATCACTTTTCTGTATCAGGTTATTTTTATCATTGAAAAAGTTCGAATTCTATGGGAGCCTGTCTTACTGCCTTCGACTTACAAAAGGTGTATGTGCATGTCTCTGGAATCAGTTTTTTTAAGAATCACGCAAGACATACTACTCTTAGATGATATAGCTGCTGAAGAGTCTCTCCAAGTGTGTAAAACCTTGATTATGTATATTATCCCCCCCCCCTTCTGCCGGAAATGACTGCGTTCAAATGTATTGATTCCTTTATCCTTGTATCTTCAGCTTCAAAGATTGATTCAATTGTTGCTGGAGAGTCTGGCACCATTGCTTGAGGCCCTGAGCACTATTCAAAATGATAAGAATTCTGATCAGAGCTTTTCACGTCCACTTGAAGCAGACATTCCATCTTTGGGAAAAATCAGAAAATTAGCAGGTATTATATCCCCCCCCCCCCACCTCCTTTTTCTTTGCAGAGATGGGCAATTATCCAATCGTGTGGGTTTTTATTCCAAGAATTTGCTCTATTGAATCAAATTGCTCCAGTTTATGTTGGGAATTTTGATAAAATGCCCATGGATTGGATTTTGCCTATCCCTGAGATGAATTATTATCCAACAATCCCCCCTGCCTCGAAACAACTTACATTCTAACAGGGTTAATTGAACTGTCTGGTCTGTTGTTTGATTGTTTTCTCTTTTATGGTAGAACTTCTTGACATGCCACTGAAGTCCATCACTGAAGCGTGGGAGTTTGGAGACTTGTATGGTTGTGGATTTATTTTAACAGAGGTATGCTAGTTCTTGTGAAATGGAAACTTAGAATTCGATATGTTTTTGGAGGTTTATAGGTTTTATAAGATGCTAATTGTTGCAGGTTGTAGATTTTATCAAAGCCCTATTTACCGACTCGCCATTGCGAAAAGATTGCCTGGCTAGAATATACAGAATCAACTTTTAGAAAGGATATCGTTTATGTCATCATGTACAAGCCACAGAGTTCCATTATTTCTTACAGTCTGCTCAATACCGGAACTACAGAGGATAGCAATCACAGCACTATAGTCTTCTCTTTTTCACCCCCCTTTTTTTTTTCTTAATAGTTCATTTCCTTCCAATTTCTAGGGCTCGTTTTAATGTAAATTCCCTGTAAAATGTGCATTTTGAAGAAAATTTTGTCCGAGGATGAAATGTCTAAAGCTTGCAGAAAGCACTAGTGTAATGTTGTTGCCTTTTCAACAAGTAATTAAATTTTTTTCCTTTTATTTATTTATTTATTTTTGACAAAATTAATTAATTTTTTTCCTAATGTTCCTTAAAAAAAATAAATAAATAAATAAACTAAGAAAATTTTTAAATACTGAAGCTAATAGATATTGTTATTACATAAATTACTCTGCATTATTATTGGATTTAATTCCATGTTTTTTGTTCACAAATAATACTTCGTATTAAGTTTTACTGAGTATGAGCTATACTACTCAAAGATCATTATTTGTAGCTATATATAATCAAAGTTGTGGTGAATGTTAATGCCAAAATGTTACGGGGTGGCCTCAAAAAATCTCAACATATCAAATGAAGACATTGCATGAAGAAAGCTAACCTAGCATTAGCATAATAGCATATGACATTATGACTTGAGTCTTAACATTTCCTGAATAAAATGCACCACAATTATTACAACAAAAATAATATATATATATATATATATATATATATATATATATATATATTGTAAAATTTAATTATGTATCAGAAGCTTGCCATGAAAGATAGAGAAAAATATTTTAAGCTTGTTGATTATTGAGGAAAAAAAAAGGGCCTTAGAAAGAGAATTAAATAAATTAATACTGTATTAAGAAAAATAATTTATGGATTAAACACATAGTTTTAAGATATTCATTTGATTAGCAAGAAGAAAATAATTCAGAGTAATTTTTTAGGTAAATAAAGAAGAAAATAATACTTTTTTTTTTTTTTTGAAACAAAAGAATGTATTATTTTGAAAAATATATATAAAAAATATACAATTGATTAGTAACAGTTTTTTTTCCTACCGTGTATTAATTTATTATATGAAATAGTAGTCATAGATGTATTTTTTTTTTTTAAGTAAAATTGAATGTTAATTTAAGAATAGTAATAAAAAATACTGTGAGCCGCATGAGACCTCTAGTTGTGTTATTTAAATTATGTCCAATTTGCAAAAAATTACCAATGAAAAACTAGATTAACAAAACGACCAGTCACTGGTCCGACGTGTAAAACTGTGATTGGGTATCACACGTATCTGTGGGTCCATCCGAAGGGTTTTTCTTCTTCTTCTTTCACAGCGTCGTGAAGCTTCTTCTTCCCCAGATCATCTTCTTCCACTCTCTGAAACATACACTCCCATCTCATTTTATTCTTAAGAGAGCAAAACTCTGAAAATTTTGAGAGAGAATTGTAAACAAATCAAATGCAGAAATCAACCATTATCTTGTTAACATTATGTTTATTTTGCGCGCATACTAATGCATTGTACAGCGCTTCATCACCCGTTCTTCAGCTCACTCCCTCCAATTTCAAGTCTAAGGTTTGTTCTTTTTTTGATTTTGGTGAAGATCTGATTTGGGAAATCATTATATTTCTGATTATATTTCGATTTTTCGAGTGATTATATCATGGGTATTGAGTAATTAGTTCAATTGTTTCTACTGTTTTCTGGGTTTTTGATGATTGTCGTAATTAGATTCTGGGTTTCTGGGTTAATAATTGCTAGCTCAATCCTCAATGCATTTATCTGGGTTTTGATTGAAATTTTGTTCTGATTGTTTGTGATTTAGATTGTGTTTTTCTCTGAAATGGGTTTTGATTGGTGTGGATGAATTTGGTTTGCAATTCAATTAGCAGATATTAGAAGAATTCTGAGATAACTGGTATTTATGGCAGGTTTTGAATGCAAATGGGGTTGTTTTAGTGGAGTTTTATGCGCCATGGTGTGGTCACTGTAAAGCTTTAACTCCGATATGGGAAAAGGCGGCCGGTGTCTTGAAAGGCGTGGCGACGGTAGCAGCACTTGATGCTGATGCCCACCAATCTTTGGCTCAGGTTGGCCTTTTGATACTAATCTCAGAGTTTATTGCCATGTAGTGTCAAGGAATTCGATGAAATGCTGATTAAACTTTGGTGTTCATTACTATTATTAAATGATGTGATCATTAGCAAGCCATCTTATCTGTGGGTTTAATCTGTTGCCTGAATGATCAAGGTTGGTTTGGTGTATACTAATCTCTTAGAGGTGAAGAGGAAATGTGAAAGATAGAAAAGATTGAAAACTATTGTTGTGTATTTGCAAGAAAGGTTGCTGATGATTTTGGTTGTTGTATCCACTCAGAATTGTCCATCTTTATTCTGGATGATTATTTAAACTTCTAATGTAGTGATTTTTGAATTGTGAAGGAATATGGCATCAAAGGATTCCCAACGATAAAGGTATTTGTACCTGGAAAGGGTCCTGTTGATTACATGGGAGCAAGGGATGTCAAACCTATTGCAGAATTTGCTCTCCAACAGGTTAGTGATTTTTGTTAGTAGTTCGTTCTCTGTTGTCTGCTATGTACACTCAGCTCTACTGCTCAGGGTTTATGTGTTTTGTGCTAATGGAGGAAAGAGAAACCTTCAAACTCAAAAGGATTTGTAATTTTACCTTTTGAATTCTTATACTTTTCTGTTTCCTTTGTACTTAATGTCGTGAGAGAATTGTCACCTAATCATCTATTTGTTCATAATTCATATATCAAAGTGAATATTTTTGTTGACATCAATTCAGGAAAATGTCATTTCTTAGCATGAGTTAATGTCAATGTAGGATGACTATTAATTTACCATTCGCTGTGCTCTAATGTATGATGAATCTTACCAAATGGTTGCCACCAATAATAATCTGATAATGAAAACATGGAATACAACATCCACAATCAATATGTTATAAATTAATGGTTAGTGTGTTGACGTAGGCTCATTCATATTTCTGCCTTAGGTGGTTTGTCTGTTGAAGGTCTCTACACTATCTATTTTTTTCATGGTATGTATGTACTTGAGAATTAAAAAAATTGTACTATTAAAGTGGCATCCAACTTGGTGGTTTAGCTAAAACTACATGTCCTAGGTTGTTTGACATAAGAGGTTTTCATACCAATTTATTAGGGATCTTGCCTTCATCCAGTACAGTGTCGATGTTAATACTTAGTGTCTTGGTTAGCAAGCTATTCTCATGAAGCAGTCTGAAACTATTTGCAAAGTGTGCTTTGATGTTTCTTTTTCTTTGATTGGCTTTGGCAGTTTGGCCAACATAGTCTGGCTTATTTTTTGGAAAGAGAATACACAAATGCTGAGATGTCTGAGTTGTGTGCAGGTAAAGGCACTTTTGAAGGATCGTTTGAATGGAAAAGCAGGAGGATCAAGTGAGAAGAAGTCTGAGCCTAGTGCATCAGTTGAACTGAACTCACGTAACTTTGATGAATTAGTGCTAAAAAGCAAAGATCTTTGGGTTGTTGAGTTCTTTGCACCTTGGTACGTTTTTGTACGGCTTTTTTGTTTGAATTGTCAATTTGTATTCTGATCCTCAAGATGTTTATACTATAGTGCATCAATTGTCACGGGTGAAAAATCATCATAGTGATCGGCTTCTACCTATTATATTATCTTGTCTTAATAAATACTGTGCTTGAAAATGTTTTTCAGGGAGGTGCATTGGATTATGTAAAAGTTTGTAGAACAGAATCACTATTCTTGTCAACCATGTCTCTTATTATTGGCTGTAGGACATTAGCTGCACTTAAAGATGAAATTCTCAAAATATAATGTTGTTATTTCTGATTAAAATCATTGCTGTTGCTAATATACTCCTCAATTGGCTTGGCGTTCTTTTTTTTTTTTTTTCCGGATTGTGTTTTGACCAATGCTTTTTTATTTTCAGGTGTGGTCATTGCAAAAAACTAGCCCCAGAATGGAAGAAAGCAGCAAGTAACTTGAAGGGTAAAGTTAAGCTTGGTCATGTCAACTGTGATGAAGATAAGGTAAATTTACCTTGCAAATACTGGTTTGTACCATGTTTATGTGTCTTGTTAGTCTCTTTTGGGATATAACATAAGGCTTATGTAGGCTGATGTGTTGGTCTTTTGTTCCTGTAGAAAATTAAACCCACCCCACTTTTTTTTTTTTTTTTTCCTTCTATTCATAATTTTATTTTAAGCCCACACTAGTTTTTTATGAACTGTATTGTTTTCCTTTGCTATAGTTTTCCCAAACCTCTATGTTTTTTACTCCAACATATAACCACTCCTTAAACACTTTCTTGAATTTTATTCTTGGTTCTCTTTAGAAATCCCTTAATTTTTCTTGAATGCTCTTTCGTTTTCTGTTCACCTTCTTCAAACTCTTTCAATGATTATTTTGTTATGTCCTTTTCTTTACATCGTATGATTCCTTATGACGATTCATGTTAGCCGACCCCAAATCATTTTGGGATTAAGGATTTGTTGTTGTAGTTGTTTAAACTTTAAATTTATCTCATGGGATATCAAACATTATTTTTTTTATTTTTTTTTTATAAAAAACGGTAACTCTCTTGTCCTGTATAAAAACAAAATGTTTTAGTTATTAAACCTAACTCGGTGTCCCTTGCTGGATAGAAAGGGTGCTGCTGAACTTTTTGTTTCTTTGTTGAACGTATATAACACAGCAGGTGGCTTAATTCTAATTTTGTTGGTTTTTCAGTCTTTGATGAGCAGGTTCAAAGTGCAAGGATTCCCAACCATCTTAGTGTTTGGTGCTGACAAAGACAGCCCATTCCCGTACGAAGGTGCACGAACTGCTTCTGGAATTGAGTCATTTGCTCTTGAACAGTTGGAAACAAATACAGCTCCTCCTGAGGTTATTGAGCTGACTAGCCCGGTATGTTTATTACTACCTAGTTGCTTGTGGACCTTTCCAGATTTCATGAAAGTATACCGTAGTACTATACTAATAATACTGACTTGTTCTTTTTGAGTAGGATGTCATGGAAGAGAAGTGTGGTACTGCTGCCATATGCTTTGTTTCTTTCCTACCAGACATCTTGGACTCCAAGGCTGAGGGAAGGAACAAGTACTTAGAGATGCTGCTAGCAGTAGCAGAGAAATTCAAAAGAAGTCCTTACAGGTAATGTATCATTTTTGCTTATTTTGTATAGATTCAGGATCTTTAGAAAGCTCCTTCTCAAAGCATTCTGTTATTTGGGAAAATCTAGGACACAAATTCCCTTACCTCTTTCTAAACCGCGGTACCCTGTGCGACTTAAGTTTGGTATTATATACTCTGTTGTACCCCCATGGATGAGTGAGTTAGGATATCTGGTGAATTCCTGATAGGATCCTACTACCATGCTGAGCCCAAACTGATAAAATTATTATCTTGCAGCTTTGTCTGGGCGGCTGCAGGTAAACAGCCAGATCTTGAGAAAAATGTCGGTGTTGGTGGGTATGGCTATCCCGCTATGGTGGCTCTAAATGCCAAGAAAGGGGCCTATGCTCCACTTAAGACTGCATTTGAGCTTGATCATATAGTGTAAGCCTATCTATATTCTGTAATTCTAAAATATGTTACTTTTCACCAAGCTATTCTATCCTGTCTTTGGTAAATCTATTTATAAAATCATGAATATGGTGATGCAGGGAATTTGTAAAGGAAGCAGGGCGTGGTGGAAAGGGTAATCTCCCAATGAGTAGCACTCCTAAGATTGAGAATGTTGAACCTTGGGATGGTAAAGATGGTGAAGTGATCGAAGAGGATGAGTTCTCTCTTGACGAACTCATGAAAGATGACCTGTGAACTGTTTAAATTTATAGAATAGGATACTCACTTTGGCCTAAGAGAGATTTTTTTTTTTTTTTTTCATTTCTCCTCTAAAATTAGCATTTTGGCCAGCCACATTAACGTTGTATTTTATGGAGAACCCCATGTACTGTCAAAGGGATGTCTAATGACTTCCTGAGTTTTATATAATGCTCCATTTGATGGTGTATTGGCGAATGGAAATGAATTGATCTACAGTTTATATCAACCAGCTTTATTTACATGCAGCTGAAACTATAAAATTTCTAATTATAGCCTACAGGTGACTACAGTTCATGGAAATGGATCAATCTAACTTGGTTAGAAGATGTCTTTGTTGAATTGAAATATTGATGAATTTCATGATTCTTAAACTTGGACACTCCTTTAGGTGTTAAGAGGATATCTTCTACGGCTTTGAGGCGAAGGACCCTTGGGTGATTGTACAAACTATGTAATTGAACTATATATCTGTACCTGTAAGATGATGTAAATCAGTTAAACAATCAATCTCCTGTATTTATACCCACGGCTGTCTCTAGTTCTGTGAGAATTGAGACTATTCTGAGGGTAGCTCGGGAAGCTCCAGATCTGTCACTGCGAGATCATACCCTGGTCCTTTTCGAAGATGTTACTCCCAATCACAAATAATAAGACCTTGCTGCAACAAAGAATTGCAGGGAAGAAAAGGCATGGGAGCTTAAAATAGGGCCTATGATATGCATGTAGAGATACACTTGTTATCTTAGAGCCTTGATAAGCGCAAATCTCAAAAGGAATATAGCAATATCAAGCATTCGTGCAAGAGAAGGGAGCAAAGGAATTGTGCTTGGCCATAATCGACAACCAAGTTTGAGTTTAGAGTGGCTAAGGGATGTTCCCTTGTAATAATTGACATTTTGGATAGGTCTTACTAACATACGAGTAAATTGTTAGTAAAAATTGACCTTTTTTCTAAGGAAAAAAAAGAAATAGAGAAGATTAATGGTTACAAAATTTTAACAAGAAACTCAAAATAACAAATGAACTGAAAAATATAAATTAAGTTATTAGGCTGAACAATTGTAGTATGACATGATAGAAATTACCTCCATCACCAATTTAATATCATATCATATAACTAATATATAAAGCTAAACTTTTAGCCATGCGATGAGGCAGCGACACTTGGCGTTCCAACTTTTCGCCAAGTGTCGTGCCACATAAGATAGAGTTATATCGAATTCAATTGGTAGAATAAAAAAGTTAGTTTAGAATTTTATTTTCAATCAAATTTGGATAGAATTTTAGGATAAAATTGTTGATTTAGAGTTTTATTTTTGATAAAGTACCAATATTTCATAGGTACAAATTGAATTATAATTTTATTCAAAAAATAATTAGATTATAACTCTCATAAATTATCATATAAATTTATTTTTTGTATCATAATATTTTTCTGGAGTGAAGGAATTAGTTCAAAATGTACCACATCCATTGTTTATAATATATTTTAATCAATTAAAATAATATACTTCACAATCTAATATAATTTTATTACTGTGTGTAGACCTGTAAATCAGGTCGGGTCACCGGCCATTTCAGGCAGGGTTACGGGTCAAGAAATATTTTTCACCAATATTATTATTATTATTATTAGTCATTACATGTCTACAAGTTTAAATAGTCACAAAAACACATCAATTCCTAACTAATTTTTTATCAATGATATGTTTTAAAATTTGACATATAGATTAAAAATATATTTTAAAATTCAATAAACAACCCGGGCATCGCACGGGCACAAAACTAGTATATGTTTAAAGGGGAGTTTTTTCCCGAGTTTTTAGAGAGCCACGTAGGATCTAATTTTCTCAGCGCACCGTGTAGGATTACAAATCTTAGTAGTAGCCAATTAAATAAGAGATTATTAATTTTTTTTAGAATTAAATAATTCAAATGCCACATAAGCAAAATTGGCGAATGAGATTTTTAAGTTTAAATTAATTAAATATTAAATATTATTTTTTAATATTAGGAATTTTATCTAAATATTTAACAAATTTTAGCTCATAAATACAAAAAAAAAAGCATAATAATAATAATAAAAAAATCAAACAAACCGTGCATCGCACGGGCTTCATCTAGTTCACTATATTACAATTGGAAATGGAGGATTCCAGATGCTTAAGTAGTTATGTCCAATTCATTCAACTCATGTCCTTTAAAATCTTTCTAACATATAAACCTTTTATTCCATTACACATCCATTATCAGTAAGAACTACTCTATGAATCTATGATAACCATAATTAGTAAGAGTTGCTCAAGTTACTTTGTTAAGGGTTACTAGAGCTACTCTTGACCGAGTAATCCCTCAAGTAACCCCTGACCGAGTAACCCCGGCCACATAAAATATAAAAAGAAAAAAGAAATTGTGTGTGCTTAACTTATTGTTGCCTTTTTTTAGGGGGGGGGGGGAATAAAATATAAAGAGATCCAAAATATTATGCCTGAATCTATATTTAGATGATATGTAAAGACTATTATACCCTCACTTTTTAAACTTTATTTATTGTACTTTCTAAATTATCCTTGAATTTTGCACATGCCATAAGCTATACCTTTTGTCTCTCTAACTTTATTTATTGGACTTCACTTTTACTCTCTAATTTTTGTCTATAATTGTACTTTTTACTTTTATTAACGTACTCCATCTATTTTCTCTTTCTATTTCATAAAAACCGTGGAAAAATACAAACAATAACTACATTACGAGAAGTAGTAATTAGTTTTTGCAAAGAAAAAAAAAAAGTTTACAAGCTAAAAGGCCCAGTAGCCCTTAATTTCTTACAATAGCCCATTACAACCCAATTCCATATCTGATATTTCTTTCATCTTACTTCGTAAAACCCTCGTCACCAAATTCTGCAAATCAAAATTAGGGTTTTAGCAAAACCCTAACTATACCTCAAAAACTCCATTAAAGGAGAGAGAAAAAGCTCTAAGAAATTGCAGATGGGTAAGAAGAGAAAGCATTCCGAAACCCAAGCTGCTGCCGCAGCAGCAGCCGCAGAGGCAGAAGCGAAGAAGAACGCCGTCGCACCAGAGCGGCCGAAGAGGACTTTGTTAGGGTGGAAGACCAAACCTCAGGAGGAAGATGGTGAGGAGAGAGAAAATGGTGACGCTGTTCATGTTCCTGTTTTCCGTAACAAAGAGAAGGTTCTTATTACTTGTTCTCGTCGGATTAATTTCAGGTATTTGATTGAAATTTTGTGAAAGGAATTTAGGTTTTTTGTTTTGTGTTTTGTTGATAAAATTTGTTTGATTTTTGGGGGAAATTGTTGGTTAAGGTTGTTTGATTGTTGAATTATTAGGTATCGGCATTTGATGTTGAATGTGGCGTCGCTTTTGCCGCATTCGAAAAGGGATAGTAAGGTCGAATCGAAGGAGAGTAAAGGTGCCACTTTGAATGAGCTTGTTGAGCTCAAGAACTGCTCTTCCTGCATGTTTTTTGAGGTATTATTAGCTATCAGTATTTGAGTGTACATTAGTGTGCTGTGTATATTGCAGAATTGAAATTGGTAACGTAAATTATTTGATTGAAATTTGTGCAGAACCGAAGCCGTCAATGATTATTTTTATTTTAATGCATAAGAACATGTGATGGAAATTGTAGAAATCAGAGCCGCCCCAATGATTATGGAGGCCCTTTTGTTAATGAAATGATATAGTAAGCTAATGGCTTATAAATATGTCATCCGATTAAGTTTGAACCCTCGTATAAATGCAACAATTTTGGGTAATGGATACTTCATATTAGGTAAATGGACACATCATTGGATTATAGGAAAAACGAATGATAGCACTTTTGTATAGTTTTTTTTCAACAAAGTTGTACTCAATTAATAGCATTTTTGCTTCAGAAATTGATTAATTACCTTATTTAAATTTTTAAATAACAAAGCGGAAAAAAGAAAAAATGGAGGTTGTGTTCAGATTCGATCTCACGACCTCCTCTAAGTGGATGAGCTGCTTACACAACTGACCCAAAGTTTATCTATTGACATCAATTCGCTGCAAATATTATATAAACATAGTTGCTCAGATGCCCTCAAACAAAGTTGGGCCCTGTGCCACCGCCCACCCTGCACTGGTTAAGGGCCGGGCCTGGTAGAAATGCAAAACTATCAATGATAGGTGTGTAATAATCTTAAATTATTGTATGGCTTTGATCCTAGAATTTTAAGCTGTCCATGATTTTCAGAATTGATATCAGCCTATTAGGACGGAATAAAATCATATACTATGTAGGATGGAAGGTATAATTCGTGTGGTGCATTATCATATTGAAAGAGCTTCCTTAATGCTTAGGCTTCTTGTTGGATGTAGGACTGTAGGAGTATGTTTTGGAGGCATAATTTGATTTCAATACTGTTATTATATAGCCAACTATGATCCCAAGATTCACAGTGTGGCCTATATGACTTTGCTGATTTACCAAATTCAGTTGTTCGCTTAATATGAAACATAGGCTTTTTCTTATATCTCTTTTTATTCATCTAAAGTCTTGTTCACTAGGGATTAAGAGACGATACTGTCACTCCCTCTGTCTCTACCTGTTTGCCCCATTTGGCTGTTCACTATCTTCGAGACTTAAAACATGAATACCTCCAATCTTGAATCATATGTAATGAATCTAACAAGATCTCACGTGACCATATTATTTCTTATTAATTAGTGAGAATTCGTGGTCTAAGATTTAGAATTTTGACCCCAAGGAATACAATGGGACAAACTAAAGGATGGAGGGAGTATTAAAAAGGCTGCAAACTTCTAATGTTCCATCACTCAAGTAATTATGGTGACTTAAAATGTAACAAAAATATAAAGAAAATTCTGCAAGTATATGGACTACTATCTTCTTAGTTCATCTGTATGTATCATATTTTGAAACCATCTGTTTCTTTTTGGCTTGTATTAATTCCATTAGGGATTTAAAAAATGTCTCATTATGCTTCTGGTTTCTCTTTTCAGCTGTTATAATCCATTAAAAATGAAAATTTTGTAAAAACATGCACATTTTGATATTACAAGTTATTTACCATCTGTTGTAAAAATATTGGTTTGATGCTAATCTGGCCATGCAACCATGAAATCTAAGCCAATTTGCTAAAGAAATTTATTCAAATTTATTTATTTATTTATTTTTGGTTCCCTTACTGATTGGTGGTTCTCTGTTATATCTGCCAGTGCAGAAAACATAAAGATCTTTACTTGTGGATGGCCAAGAGTCCAGATGGTCCATCAGTTAAATTTTTGGTTAATGCAGGTAATTTTAATTGAATAGTTTTCAATGTGCTTGTAAGATTCGTATTATATGCTACAGTTAAAGCGGTATGCTGTCAATCCCAAGTCCACATGTTAGTTCTATTTGCTATCCTTGCTGTTATGTTAGTAGAGAATGGTTGGGATTATCCTAATGAATTAATTTCATTTTTCTGCTCAGTGCATACAATGGAAGAATTAAAGCTCACTGGGAACCATTTGAAAGGTTCACGTCCTTTGTTGACATTCTCAGCTAATTTTGACAAGGAGCCACACTGGATGCTTTTGAAGGAGTTGATGTTGCAGGTATCTTGATTTGTTCAACCCATATATACGGTTCTAGACTTCTAGTAAATGTGTCTGCCTGTCTGTTAAAGATGATAAAAAGGTTTTTCATTAATGTTGAATTAATGTATCTTTTGTTGAACTATTGGTTTCATATTATCTACGTACTTTAATATTTTATGTCCTTGCTTTCATGAGGACAACCTTATATCAGATATTCTTCCCAGTATCACTTTTTTTTTTTTTTTTTCATTTTTGTCAAATAAAATATCTTGCAGAGTTGTTATAATAATTGTAAAGGTGATTATATAGCCTTTATAGCCTGCTCAAAGGTATATGACCTTTGTTAGCATGCTAAATTTGAGACAGACAAGGCAGAAAACCGTTCCTTTTTAAAAAAAAAAACCATTTGTGTACCTGCTTTGACTGGTAGTCTAGGCGTGTTTGTAATAATGTATGTGCGTGTGATTTTGTATTTCTCTCTGTAACTAGTGGGATGTTACATGTGGTTCAATTACTCTCTTGCAATCTTTTGGCCAGCTAATCTAATAATCAATACTTGTATATTACTGCTGGTTTGTTGTGCAATTGCTGTTTAATGATGATAAGCATTCTTACATTTGTATACCTTGGGTACTTCATCACTATATTGCCTTTGCTAATTAATTTCTTCCTTCATTTCAGATATTCCAGATTCCAAAGGATCACAGGAAATCAAAGCCTTTTCATGATCATGTCTTTGCCTTTTCAATTGTTGATGATCATATCTGGTTTAGAAACTATCAGGTTCGTATAATATAATTATCTACGAATGACTATCATACTTCTTGGTTATGCTTTAATATGGATTATCATTAAACAAGGGCACAAATGATTCCTTTGTAACTTGGTCCAGCAATTGTGATGGTTATTGTTAATTTGTAGCTGTTGCATTTGTACGACTCAGTAAAACGATTGGACTCATTTTGTTACTTCTGCTGCATTGATGATCCGGGTAGTGTTCTCTCTGCACTCGCTGTATAGTAGCGCATAATTAGCGAGTCTTTGCTACAAACTTATATTGTCCAATGCATATAGATGAATTTTCATTTGGACTTGTGATATGCTACAGCCAGCTTTTTGCATTGAAATCGAAGAGTGAATATGTTTTGTGTAACTGTAGGCTAATTTAGTTTAATGAAAAATTTGAATATACTTCCTGGTGACTGATATTCTTAACATCTGATTTCTACCTCAATAATCACTTGAATAACTTCGAGTGTGCTTTCAATGTCATTTTGTGCTCTGTTTCACTTGAATAACTATGTTTTTTCTTTTGTTGAAATTTTCCTCTTTCTCAACAGATTACTGTTCCGCATAATGAACCAACTAAAATGGACAGAGGTGGCTTGGACAAGATGACCCTTACAGAGGTTGAACTTCTGAACTACTTTGTTGATTAGATACTCTCTTTTCATGACTGTGTGATTAATTTTTGGCTTGGTTAATTGGTAGGTTGGCCCAAGGTTCTGTTTAAATCCCATCAAAATATTCGGTGGAAGCTTTGGCGGTCCAACTTTGTATGAGAATCCCTTCTATATTTCACCGAATCAGGTAGATGATTAATAGCCACTATTTTCTTTGACCTTGATATCTTTTATTTGTTCTTGTAAACCATACTTGCAATTCATTACAAAATCAAGCAAATAATTAGACTCTTGGATGCCTCCCATTTACACGTGTTTTCCTGAGATTTGATGATGTTTTTTGTCCTTGTAGATACGGTCTCTGCAAAAGAAAAAGAAGGCTGGCAAATACGTTAAGAAGGTTAAAGCAAAGACTAGGAGGAAAATGCATGAGTTGTCAAACCCAATGGAGCGTGATGAGTTGGCAGATATGTGGAAAGAGTGACAATCTGCTGCAGATCAGTTTTGATTTGGTCTTGGATAAGCAAATATCAACTTAAATACAGGCAATTAGCAATTCTTCCCTTGAATCTTTTTATTGGAGCATGTTGACATAGTTGGAAGCTCATAACCTTATTGTGTTGTATTGCCATTAGAAAGATGAGTGGGGTGAGTTTTTTCAGATTACAGTAATGAGGATAGAAAGCAGAGGTGTGCTGTTGAGTTAGCTTCTGCAATCTTTACCAAAATCACTACAGTTTTGTAACAAGATTTCAGTTTGTGTAGCAACTACTCTAGCAAGTGATATTATATTTTCTTTTGTCGTATGTTCAAAGTTTTTGTATTCCTATCTGTGCCAATATCATGACTAATCTCGCTATCTGCCTATTTGGGCCTCCCTCTCCTTTTCTTTCACACGTAAATAATTTTTGATTTTTTAAGCAGCAAGTAAAGGCATAATTTTGATGTTCATATGTTAGTTATCGCGCTCTTTACCTTTGTCGTGACACAGCCCATTAGACCTGGGCTTCTTTCTCTTTCTTTGTCACAAATATTGTGTGGAAGGTTGCTGAAACTTGTGAATTGGGCAAAGGCTCTGTTCAAAAAGTGTTTGTTTTTTATTTTTTGGCCAAAAGAGTACCAATTTTGAATGAGCTTCAGTTCATTTTGTCCTACCAAGTATAAACATAGTGCAGAAAGCCCTCTGAAGATGGTTGTGAAGTTCAATGAAGTGAGGAAGATGCTTACAAAAATGACGACTCGATTGACTCGAAAGATTGCTGATGATCAAGCAACTCAAGCAGTTGTGCTGTCCACGAATGATTTTGTTCGCTGTGATGATCTCTTCGAAAGTTTGGTTAAATAAAATGATACTGAAGCAGATGCCAGTCATTTTTAGCTGCTCATATGGTTGCTCAGAAGCATTTCTGTTACAGGCCGAATATCTCCACATGAATTCTAAAAGGTCTGTTATCAGATTTTGGTTGCTTCCTTTTTTTTTTGGCCAAAAGAAATACTACCAGTAAAATTTACTCACTCTTTCTAAATATTGTGAGTTGAGTGGGTTTTGATTTTTAAGGAAGCCATCATAGAATGCTTGCTTTGCTTGTACTCATCTTTTTACAGCTTAAACTATAATTTATCCTATTCCACATGTAATCTTTATATTTTACGATTTTTTTTTATATACATTCGGGTGTACGGTGCACCCAACTAACCCAAGATTAGCTTTTGTTTTTCATTTGATAATTGAATGAATATTAATCATCTAAATGAGAAATACCAGAGTGTATATATGATAAATAGGTTACTAACCTCTCAATCTCTCATGCATTTAGCTAAAAACAATATTGAATTATTCAATTTCCTATATGATATAATAGGACATAAACTTATACTGGTATAATACTGCTGATAATATACCAATTTTCTGATTAAATTGTCCTAATCAAAATGAGCCTTCTTCCAAAAAAAAAAAAAAAATAAAAATCAGTAAGTGCTCCAATGCCTCATGTTTGAATCCAAAAAGGTTGGAGACTTGGAGTGTAAAGAGAATCACACTCACATAATTAAATTCGTTAAGTGTACGTAATTACTTTTAATTTTTCTCAAATTAGGCAGGTAGTTAAAGAAAATACCGATTTTAGTCTTTTGGATTACTCAATTTCTACTTTTGAGCTTGTGTGGAACAAAGCCTCCACGTGTCTTCTCTTTAGAGTGTTTTTCAGGATGACAACTTCAGTTGACCCCACTTCTTCTCCAATCACAAGGAGATTCTTACGAATCTTCCATTTTTATTTTTAATTTTCTCTCTCCTCAAAATTTGATTTCTGGGTTGCCAAAAAAACCATAAAACTCAAGTAAAGAACAATTCTTTTTCAATATTTTCTAACAATTTTATTATTATTATTTTTTTTTACAAAAAAAAAAAAAAAAAAACCCAGAAAGATATGAAAGCATTAAATTATGGGTTTGAGCTGGTTGATCTTCAAATTTCATGGCAATCAGTAAATCAAACCCAAAAATCAACCTTTTCTTACTTAAACAATGCTAACTTTCTATCACCTGTCTCTGCGGCATTTCGTCGAACAGGTGGCGGGCGTAAAGGAATTGCTCCGTCTAGATCCGCCGTGTCATCCAACCGGTCGCCGGAGATCCGCCGGCCGGCCGACAGGCTGTTTCCCGGAAATGGGTTAACCCCAAATTCCCTTGTTCTAACTCCAACAACAACAAATTCTAACTTTAGTAATCATAGAGTGGAAGAATCAGCTTCAGAGCTGGAGTTGTTTCTTGAATTGGTTCCTTTTAGGATGAGAAACTCCTTGTCTTGTCATGATGAGATTGGGGATTTGATTGAAATTGTTCTTGATTTTGGAAGGAAACCTTTGGCGCGGTTTCCTTCTGGTGATTGGGTCATTTCTCAGGATCCTGTCAAGCTTGAGGATTTGCAGCATGCTATTTCTAAGGTAGTAGTTTGATTGAATTTTATGCATATAGTTTTATACAAATAGCTGGTTCATTTCTAATTCTATAAAATGTGATTATGTTATTGGTTAGCATGAAGTAGTGTTTGATCTGTTTGTTGATAAAATGATGGGATAGGAGAATTTTGCTTCTTCCAAATGATCATTACATGAGGTGCCATTAATTCAAACAAATCGGTTATTTGTTTATGTAATTAATGTAATCTATAATAAACTTGAAGAAGGAATTTAATGGAATATGATTCCACCAAGGGTGTATGGTTATGTTCTATTAATGTGTCTGAAACTTTGCTGTTATTGGTATGTTTTTGTGTGATAACAGCTAGATTTGAAGGCTTTTAAATTAGCAGGGTGTTTGGTGTGGTGGAAAGTGGTGGAAATCGGATTTTTTTTTTTTTTTTTTTTTTAATATATATATATATATATGTGAATTAGCTGCATTGTTCAGGTGGGTGATTTTTCGGATGACAATCGATCAGGAATTGATCGTTCACTGCATCGTATAAGTGCCATTCGGAATCGTAAGTTGCAAATAATTGGGCTTACTTGTCGGGTGGGTAGAGCAGTTTCTGGGAGTGCCGAGATCATCCATGATTTGATTGAGGGGGGAGGTTCTATCTTGGTTATAGGACCGCCTGGAGTTGGCAAAACCACCTTGATCAGGTAGATCCTTTAAAATGTTTCTATGGTTAGTGGCTTGTTATCAAAATTGTCCATTGATCAATACAAGTATCAATTTTTTTTTGACATAAAAGCTCAGATCTTTGCATGTTTTGCTCTAGAAGCTTCAAAAGCTTTCTTTGCTTTGCTTTGCTTTTCTTAGGTGGTCAGCATTATTCCTTCCTGCTAAGTGTAGTCATGTGAATGCATTTTCTATGCCTAAATAAAGTGAGGAAATGGAAAATGTAAAATTTACTTATTGCAAATTATATGTTTGACTACATTATAGTCATCAAATTACTTTTTAGAGAGAAGAGAGAAAGAGAGGTGGTACCAATGCTTCAACCCTGGTCCTAGACTTCAGAGGTCATCAAATTACTTCCTGTAAATAATAAATAAATAAAACAGAAGAATGAAAACTAAGTTGTTTTTCTTCCAGAGAAATTGCAAGAACACTAGCAGATGAGCACAACAAGCGAGTGGTAATTGTGGATACGTCGAATGAAATTGGAGGTGATGGTGATGTTCCACATTCAGGTATTGGTCGTGCAAGGAGGATGCAGGTGCCTAATGTCGATATGCAGCATAACGTGAGTATTACACATTGCTTCACTGTTAATTTAATAAACAAGAGATTATCGATATAACTTTTAATCTTAGTCTCTAATTTCCTCTCTTTCTAAAATCGTGTAGGTGATGATTGAGGCTGTTGAAAATCACATGCCTGAGACAATAATTATTGATGAAATCGGAACAGAGCTTGAAGCTTTGGCTGCCAGTACCATTGCTCAAAGGGGAGTACAACTTGTTGGGACTGCTCACGGCATGACCATAGATAATATAATGAAAAATCCTTCTCTTCAGCTGCTGGTTGGTGGTATAGAGGTACATCACTAAAATTCTTAACCCTATTGTTTTGCATTTCATAGTCATAAATTTTAATGAACAATAACTGATGTTTGGTTGCCTTTGAATTGTTATTTATTTGGTAGAGTGTTACCTTGGGTGATGAAGAAGCAAGGCGAAGAAAAGTGCAGAAGACAGTTCTTGAGAGAAAGGGACCTCCCACTTTTACATGTGCTGTTGAAATGATTTCTAGAACTGAATGTCGTGTCCATCACAGATTAGATGCAACAGTCGATGCTATACTTGCTGGTATCATATATAAATTTATTAAAATAGATTAACATCAAAGTCTTTGCTTCAGGATTTGAGGTGCTTACTTATGTTTATTCTTGATGTAATAGGAAAATCCCCTCTATTTGAAATCCGTCAGATGGAACCTGAGGTGAAAAGCTCTGATAATTTGGCCAAGGTTCCTGAAAAGCAGCAGCAAGAAGAATCTGAGTTCATTAAGCCTGCTAAGAGAAGCACTGAAATAGAGTCTGAAAATGAAGACATGGCTGTACCTCATCTTTCCAAGAGGAGAAACACCAAAGGTCCAAGAAAGAACAGCTTACCAATTTTTGTGTACACTTATAAGGTAAGATGAATGGAATGTTTATATGCCAATCTGCTTTGCACTATAGATTCCTTTGGCAAGCTGAACAAATGTGCATTAGTATTTCAGTGGGATTATCATTCCGGAAAGGAAATGAGAATATCCTGTTCCACAGCATGCTTTTTGTTCATGCGAATTTATTTACATTAGCTACCAAAGAATTGATCAACATGTCACAAATAATGTTTGATGGACAAATCTGGAAAAATTTAAGATAGCAATTGAAGTAAATATGGGTTCTGAGTCTTTTGACCATAATCATGATATCTATCTGAGTATGATGGCGATGATGCCATATGGCCTGTATATTTTAGAGGGAAAGTATGTTAAGTCCCCTTACTTAAATCAATGTATGTGCTTTAGATATTGGAAGCTGATTTACTACAAGTAGCAGAAGTAATGGGGCTTGAGGAGGTAATTGATGCTACAGATGATATTGGAATAGCGCATGCAATCTTAGCCTCTAGTTCAGAGATGAAGCAAAATCCATGGATCCGCGGTGTTGCTAAATTCCACCAAGTTCCTATTTTTGTTATCAAGGTAATTTTCTGATTTGACCAATAAATATCTTAAAATGTGTACTACAAGAATTATCTCTTAACTCCTCATCATGACACTGCAGTCAAATACCATGGCACAAATGGTAAAGGCAATTCGCATGATTCTTGGGATGGAAGCTTTTGGCCCAATGTCAAAGCTTCCTTCAAAAGATGTGCTTGACATTGAAATCGAAGATGATGCACCTGAACGGAAACCTTCGTTAGAAGAGCTTGATGCTTTAGAGGTAACGACATTCCATTCAAATTCATTTCTCAATTGTTAGCTGGTGATGAATGTGGACTTCAACTTGATAGTGCAACAATTAAGTCTTAGAGGAGGAGGATGTGGTAGTTTTGTACTTTGGCAGTACTAGTATGTTCAAGAATTCAATCTTTCCGGAAAATAATTTTCAATATCTTTACCTATCAGTACCAAGACAAAAAAATAATATTGGGATATGCTGAAAGTCATGAAACCCACTTGAGACCAATTACTACTCAAATGACTTATGTTTTGATTGAAATTCCTACCAAAGTATGTTTTTTTAACCTTTCTATTGAATCGATTTGAGGATGCTTGAAGTAGTTGGGTCATTTCATTTGCATATTTCATCAATGTTTTTGCCCCTGGTATATGCATGACTATGGGCATTGAATGCTTCTAGTTCTAGGCATTTCTAATCGACTTTACTAACCTTTGATTTTGTCAATAGGAAGTTCGACTTGCGATTGAGTATATTGTGATTCCAGGTGGGGAAGCAGTAGAACTTCTTCCTCGACGTTCAGATATAATTGCCCGGCAACTTAAGCTTGTGGAAAGTTACCAGCTGGCTGCAGAGAACTCAGGTACAGAACAGAACCCTCGATTACAAATTCTTCCGATTAAATCAAAGAAAACTTCCTCTAAACATGCCAAACATGGTTCATCAAATGATGATGAAATAACCTCTGTATCACTAAAGGGTGGCAAAGAAGGTGCCCCAGTTGCGCGGTTGCCTCTCCTGCCTGAATAGAATATATTTACACTCCTGTAGGACAATACCTGTATTATATGTATCCTGTACAGTGTAAATATGAATAATCACTCTTGTATCTTCAATGATCAACAAATTTTCCATATTAGTTCATTATCAGTAAAATTGTAATTATTTTACCCATAAACTATTGTTGTGAATACACATACTGTATTGTCCAGAAGGACCAGAACCACCCGCAGAAACTCCTAATCCTTGCCCAACCAATCGCCTGCTCCCTGCGTTTAATGTATTTCACACATAGTAGTTTCTTTTCATTGCGCATGTATCTTCAGACATGGCACCATCAAACATTAACCTGTAAATATGGTGTACTTCCATTAAGAATTTAAGGACAGGGAATGAGCAAAATAACCACTCTGATAATCTTTATTGATTGATCTATCATTATTGCATTTGTTATATACTACCTCCGTTTCTTTTTAGATGACACGTGTTCCTTTTTAGGAAGTTTTTTTTTAGTTGACACGAATCCTTTTGGGGTAACTTTTTTACCGTGTATTTACAAGCTACCCCACTTGTTTTTTCACTCTCTCACTCTCTCTCCTCTCCTTAATATATGTACCTAAATCAAACGCGTCAACTAAATAGAAACGGGGGAAATAGTAGGCTATATGATTTTGAGGAATCGAGGCTCTATTAAAGTACATATTGGTTGTCGAGGACTCGGGGGTAACATTTGGGGTTAGCTGATAGCTGGTGATCAAGTTCAAACAATATACAAAGTATATCACAAAAAGATTTCAAGAAGCAAAAACCTGGTCTTGAGATTATCTTAAACATAACACAACCACACTGATCCAACTAATGCTTTTTGTGATTATTTGTGAAACAAATTGTATATATACTAATTTTTGGGCCCTTGTTTTTTGTGGGCCCTGAGCTGTCGCCCACACTGCATCGGCCTAGCCTCGCCACTGTTAATAATAAAATACTCTCCCACTCATCTTTTATCTATATACGAAGTATTTAATTCTCAATTTAACCCACTCACATATTAAAATACTCAATTATTTCATTTGCATAAAACTTTGTACACAACCTAATGTTACATTTAAATAAGATACGAGGAAGTACGAAGTAAGCAACATTTACCACCATGACCTAAGGCATGCAAATGACACACTAGATTTGATCAGATAGAACGTTGCCGTAAGCCAGTAAGCACATTTATGACTTAGTGTCACGGTCCGGGAGTTTGGGCCCCAAAACGCAAGTTAAAATTGACAATATTACATGCTATGTAAGAAAGCCACTATGGATGTTGTAAAAAAAAAAAGCCACTATGCACTCTCGTACTAAGAAAATTACCAAACTAGAAAATATTTAGAGTGATCAAATACATCCACTGAGAGTGATTGAGCTTCCCTTCCGATTCAAGGAGACCCTGGGGTCAATTCTCACCCCGTTCTTGTGGCTCTCTAAACACCAAAAAAAAAATCAAATACATCCACTATAACACATATTTCCCTTGCTAAGATTTACTGTGTTTGTTAAAGAAATCAATGAGAAGATCATAAACGATTTCCTTAGCATTCATAGCCAGGACATAATCAGCATGCGCATAGTCTTCAACAAACTGAAGGAATAGCTTGTCTTTATCATGATTTTTGAGTTTATCCAGCAGGAACTTAACATCGTCAACATCAGCAAGCTCGTCCCTTCCTCCATGAGCTATGAACATTGGGAGGTTGTTTGGTATGTTTGTCAGGTCATATTCCGGAGGCTTAGTCTGCCCATAACGTTCCAAGTTCTTATCCGGGTCTAGATAGTCATATCTTGCTATTGTTCCATCCCTTGCCACTGATGACATATTCATAGACAAGAATTACTATGTTGTCCTAGATTGATCAACAAAGCTCTGCAATTACAGGTCAATTCAGTATAAACTCGTCTGAAACTTAATCTAAGTTTAAGTAATGTGTCAACTGTCAAGCAACTAAGCCTAAGAAGTAAGAACAACTTCAACTTGGCTCATATGACCCGGCCTATAATATAATGAAAGCAGTAGATTTAATCAATAAGCACATACTTTGGGAAAAATGGATCATGTTTTTGGTGGCTGTTGGCTGAGGTTCATGCTGCAGGAATGTAGAAACCGTTGCTGTGCTCAGGCAACAGTTTACACCTACATCCTAAATTTGTATTAGTGCTTATCATAATTGATGTGATAAAAAAAAAAATCCACTGCCATCTTTGAAAACCGATTAGCTCATGAATAAATTGCGTGTTTGATACCAGTAAAAGACGTCAAAAAGTCAGTGCAGTCAATTCCCTGCTTCCTGTATATATCTGTCAGAAGCTTCTTTACTGCCTGTCTGTTCAATCAGAAGCAGAATAGAAAATACTTCAACAAATATCTGGCTGTATAAGCTAGATATTTAAAATACGGGGATGATTAGACAATGTGTGTTAAATTGTCCTACACAATGAGTCATGAGGATGATTACAAGGTTACAGAATATGTCGATATATCTAGTTGCTACATGCTAGCTAACATAACACCTAACAATATGGAATGTAATTCAGAATGCCAAAAATAGGGAATTGAGAAAATTAAGAGCTGATCTAAAGCTCAGTACAGCAGAGAAGAAAAGGCATTCTCACCCACGTGGTACGAATTCATGTAGTCCAGACCAGTACATCAACTGTGGTCAAGGGAAAATAATAATCAGTAGGTGCTTTTCATCTGCCACAAGGAGATCGAATTAGTCTTACTATTAGACAAAAAAAATGTAGCTTACGAGTAGGAAATACTCCACATCATATATAGCACAAGTAGTATCATAGAGTTGTTCAGCCGACGAATTTCTATTGCTAACAAACAAGAAACCCTTTTTTCTTTTACTTTTGATACCATGAGTTTACTGATTGAGACAAAACACAATTCACACCTTTTCAGGAACTTCATTAGATTTTAGCAAATAGAAGAGGGGGGGGGGGATGGGGGTTATCAATTCGTGTACATTAAGATTTATTATAGTATATTAGTCCAAAAGACCATTTAAGTAATTGTTCATTACAAGACAGAATAAAATCTAAAACAGCCTCAACAATACAAGGAAAAGAAAGGACAAAATCAACAAAACATATCTCCAGTGAAGCTTATAAAGATCCATGTCAACTCGCCTAAATTAAAGAGCAAAATGATGTCTTTCTCTTTACGAAACATAAAAATAAAATAAAAATAAAAAATAAAATAAAATAAAAATAAAAAATAAAATAAAATAAAAATAAAATAAAATAAAAAGATAAAACCTTTGAAGTGCTCAGACAATTATTCTGATGAGCGTCATTTATGGCACTCATTTAGCTTCTTTTAGGATGATTTTTCATTACTTTTACTTCTCTTTTACCTCTTTTTCTTTAGCTTTACTTGTATTTTCTCTATTTTGCTTTTACCTTAGTTGTTTCCTTATATTCTTGCTTTTCTTAGTTTATTTTGCATTTTCTTCTTTACTTGTTTGCTTTCTTTGATTCTAGGGAGTTGGCGATGTTCGAGAGGCTCAATGGCATTCTCTCGGGGTATTCAAGGCCAAAGATGCATCCTAGTCCCTCCTTTTGAAGCCCAAAAGCAAAGGTGTGCAAGAGTCAGGTCTTTGAGGCCGCGCTCTTATGCCGCGTAGGCATGAAAAGGCGATGTTGAACCCACCGTAATGGCTCCTAGAGACTGCCTTTAACATCATGCATCATCCGGAGCTCACGGGGTCATCTTCGAGCGCACCAAAGGGAATCCCCCGCTCCCATGGCGCGGCCGCGCGCGAAAGGAGCAGCCGCGCAGCTGCTAGGAGCGGCTGCGCCTCTCTCCTCCCCCTGTTTCCGTACCCATTTTGTTGCGGCCGCGCTAAGGAGTGAGAGGCCGCACCTTTTAAGGTCTCTTTTGGACGTCTAACTAACTACTTCTTAGTTAGTTTTACTATTTATAGATTTCCTTCATATTCTAGAGAGAGAATTGATTAGGGAATCATAGATTAGAAATAGAATTGATTTTGATTAGAATTTTAGAGAGAGAAACCCTTGATTTTGTGATATTGTTCTTAGATTTTAGAGAGAGAAACTTGGTGTTTGATGATTGTGATCCTCATTCCTCTTTGATATTGATCAAAGTTTTGTAAGAATCCTTTCTTTTTCAATGCAATTTTATGTTTGATTTTGATATATTGTTGGATTTCTATTGTTTAGTTTGATTTTAATTGTTGATATTTGGATTACAATGTTGATGAAGAGATTGATGATTACTTTTGTTATGCTTTTCAATTTTACCATTAGTGAGTAGTTCCTTTGCTAGGGAATGTGATGAAGCATGTATTGGTGATAATCTATAGCTAATTTGGGGTTTTTGATTGATTTGATGATGTGATTAAATTGGTTGATAAAATTTGTGCATGTGTTTGATTTGAAGAGGAGTAGCTAACCTTGATGATCATGTTAGATTGCATAATAACTTTCAATGACACGAACAATTGATTTGGATGCTATTATTATCGATTGATCTTGATTAGCAATTTTCCTTTGAAATCATTCGTTTTCCCTCGCATTGCTTAATTGATCGAATTCCCTCGAATTAGCAAGTTTATTATAAATGCATGTGGATCCTAAATTCTCTAGTGTTTTGATAATTGATTTTCATTTGTTGATTGATTTGATTTTGTTAGTATAGACCAACCCATTCTCTTTAAGATTTCAGAATAGCTTAGCTTAGACTTTAGCAAAACCTTCTTACCTTGGGTTCGACCTGGACTTGCCCCTATACCTAGGGTTGGGTTTAGTTTTACAAATTTTGTTTTGACCGGGAAATCTAGTTTCCAACGACCTAGGTTCTATCGGTCTATCCTCGTGTCATATTCTCGGTATAATTTGTTCTTTGGCCATACTTTTTGAAATACTGAGTCAAAATGATGCACACATCATAATAGAGACTTTTAACTACAATGAATATTTCACTCGAAGTTTGAAACATCTACATATTGACAATAGAACACATCATCATCTTTTAAGAATTTTATTGGTGCATGATGTTTTCTGTGAAGTCAACTACAAATAAAATTACATACCGCTTGTTCAATTGAATCAAGTCTTCTATCAACTCTTGTATCATGAACATGACGAAAAGTGTATCCTGCATCATCACAACAAAATTTCAGGTAAAAACACTTTGTATGCCTCTAAGAACGAAACAGAATTATTATTTTCTTTGTAAGCATTAAAGTACATTAATAGGTTAAATAATTTCTAAGAAAAACTAGCTACAAATTACACCAGCAACTTAACAAGATCACAATAAGACCCAAAAAGTCCATGTAGCATTTACAGATTTACGTCATTTACTCATAGAAAGCCAATAATGTAACTTGTATATGATAGAAAAACGACCCCTCCCCCCCCCCCCCCAAACCCTGCCCCTGTCATCTTATACAAACACGGAAATTTCATTTCTGCCAAAAGCAACAAATTACAGCCAAAATAGCACATAATCTTAATGTCTCTTCTCCTTATTTTGCCTCAGGGCCACATAAATTCTTTGTAAGTTCTCCATAACCTCTATTGACACAGCCAGTACTTCACAATAAGCTCTCACCCCAGACACCATAGACATGCTTCCGTAATAATTATTCCATTTCATAGCACAACAGCACAAGAATAGATGTAAAGCATCCTCACAACTAATCATCTACATGGGTAAAGGACAACATGTTCTAAGAGTGTGATAGAGAGTAATCAAAGAAGAGAACTCCCTAATGCATACACAAGAAGGCCAAGTTACCATTCTCGAATAACAGGCTGAACCAGGACCTTCATGATGTAAAATATCTGACAAAACAAACTGACAGGCAAGATATAATGACCAAAAAAAAAGTTCCATAGAGCTTAAGGATCTTCTATCCTTCACATATGAAAGAATACTATGGCAGGGCGCTATTTCAGCGAATCAGCTAGCATGACCTCCAGGTCAATACTTAGAGGACTTCGCCCATATCTTGCAGCAGAGTCATTGATGTGTAAAACCATAGGATAGCAACATCAAGACTGTTTAAAACGAGACTAAACCAGTTCTCAAGGAATTTAAACTTTTACTCCAATTACCACAAGAATAAGACAACCCTAAGGGCTGAGATTTTTAAGTATCTCACATTCTAGCCTTAAGATTCAAATAAGTGATTGCCCAATAGAGATTCCAAGCTTAATAGATAATGATATCAAAAGGATAGCAACCTATTTCAAGCTACTCCCTCTGTCCTCAAAAGTTCGACCCTTTTTGGCCTAATTATAGTCCCAAAATGATCGACTCATTTGCATTAAATTACTCACCAATTTACAACAATATTTGTGCAAAATTAACTTCCCCATATAAAATTTTGTTTTTTCATGTATTTTTAATACTTTCTCTCTCTACTTTTTTACAAACCCCATGTAAATTTATCTTTCCAATATAATTTTACATCTTTTTATTTAACTTTCTTAATACCCGCGAAATCAACCCAAAAGAGTCGTTCTTTCGGGGACGGAGGGAGTATTATCTACTAACGATTTTAAATAAAAATATAGCCTCAAAAGCTTAAAATAGTAAACTCAATCATCTAAAGTAAACATTTCTTCTTGTTCTGCATATTTGAATAATTGAATTCATGATATGTTTCTGCACAGCTAATTTGGAATATAATAGTTCAGCGGAAACAGATTAAATAACAAGACATAAGCAATGAAGCACAAACAAGACGACAAATACCCAAAACCCAATCGAAGCTATATGCTCGAATTGTTATAAGAGTACTGTCAAGATGATATGTACTTCTCATTCATCAACATTGTAGAATTCAAGTTTTTGAATTGTTCTAGAGAATTCTTAACCTTTTCTCAGTTCCAAATGATGCCACAAACAAATTTGTGTGATTTACTAAACACTAAAACAAATTTACAGTCATTTAAGCAATCATCCTCCCTAATTTTTTTTTTCCCTCATAAATCCTCAAAACTTATTACAGACATAAAAATATCCATAAATAAATAAAATTTACAATTGCAAAGTAGTTAAATTACTCACCAAGCCAAGCAGTACCAACTGATGCTATAGAAGTACCAACTGTAAACACCACCTTGTGCCTCTCAAATGTATCCTAAAAACCCATAAAAAAAAATACAAAATTGCAAATTTATCAAAATATTGAAATACCCAATTGAAAATTTTAATCACCCAATTGAAAAGTAATTATTAATTAATAGGGAATGAAAAAAAAAACCTTGGTAGAAAAATAGGTGTCTTGAACAGCAGAAACCGTATTTGAAGCTCGTTTCTTTAACTCCGGCATACCCACCAACCTCCAAATTGAGGATTTTAAAGTTCGAAGTCTGTGCAATTTCTGCATTTGCCTTTTTAGATCAACACCAGAATTTTGAAGAGAGAATTGAGAAGAGAATCCAAAAGGATCGCTCTTTCTTTACGTTTTCCACAAACAACGAAGCTCCTGAATTATTTAGGGGCACTAAACGTCGCCCATGTTTTACTAAGTAACACTGATTTTGTTATTAATGAATGAATTTACCCTCAAATAGTCACATATGCTTATGTTTCTCACCCCTCACTTAAATAAGAAGTAGTGGAGCTAGGTAGGGACAAGGGGGACAGTTTTCTACCCACTTTAAAAAAAAATAAAATTAGTAATAGACATGTTTAGTATAATGAATTAAAGAAGTAGGTGGTGTTGGAAGTTCTTGATATAAAATAAGGGGGTTGGGAAAAAACAAGAGAGAGAGAAAAACAAATGAAAGGGAAAAATCCCACATTGGTTGGGGGGAAAGGTTTTTCCTTGGTTTTATATTGTAGTGTCTTAACACTACTTAGTTGAGTGAGTGAGAGTTAAGTGTTACTCCACACACACGCGCGCGCAGCCGGGCTGTGTCGGACTCGGGATGCGCGGGCGTGGGTCCTTGTTATCTTTTTGGAGAAATTTTATTTCCTTTTCTTTGTTAAACAGAATATTCTTTTTTTGTCTGTTAGGAATATTCTTTTCTGACTGTTGGGATTACGGAATTAAGTCATTCATTAATCCCTTGATTATAACTGACTAATTAATTCCTTGTTTCTTGCTTCCGTTGTTGACTGGTTGAATGAATCTGGTCGTTTTCTTAGCCAGATTCGTCCCTCGTTTTACGTTTCATGTCTCCCTTCTTCTGCCTATATATACTCGTTGCTTTTTCCAGTCAAAAACACACAACACAATCAGTTATCTCTCTTCTCTCAAATTATCTAAACACGGGTTTTCTTCTGTTCTGTTTTCTGGGCTTCTGACTGTTGGGATTACGGAATTAAGTCAGTCATTAATCCCTTGATTATAGCTGACTAATTAATTCCTTGTTTCTTGCTTCCGTTGTTGACTGGTTGAATGAATCTGGTCGTTTTCTTAGCCAGATTCGTCCCTCGTTTTACGTTTCATGTCTCCCTTCTTCTGCCTATATATACTCGTTGCTTTTACCAGTAAAAAACACACAACACAATCAGTTATCTCTCTTCTCTCAAATTATCTAAACACGGGTTTTCTTCTGTTCTGTTTTCTAGGCAAGTATTCTGAGTTTCAGTCGGGTTTGTGAGTGCACATAAACTCCGGCGCCGTGCTTATCCTGGAGGGCGACCGCTTCTAGTCTACTGCACCGGGAGGTAGCGCGGAATCGTCTTTTAGGTCAGTGGTTCTCCACGACGCGGCTATTGTCACTTTGGTTCACGCATCAAGAGATAAGTTATTTCTGTTTTATTGCTTAGTAGTATAACAATCTAAAAGACGATTATGGCTTCCAAGTTTCTAATTCCTGATATGTCTAAGTTAGAACCTCTAGATGGAAAAAATTATAAACGTTAGGCTGTTAGGATGCGTTTTTATTTGGAGCAAATTGATGTTGCATATGTTCTTGATGATATTGTTGAACCTGATGATAAGGATAGTTTGTCTGAAACTGATGTTAAGTTTGCTAAGGATGATAGAACCTGTAAGGGCATGTTGTTGCATTATATGTCAAATAGTCTGTTGGATATTTATATGGGTTTTTTATCATGCTAAGGATATTTGGGATGCTTTAGAGAAAAAATATGGGACTGATGATGCTGGTACTAAACGTTATTGTGTTAGTAAGTGGTTAAGTTTTTAAGTTGTTGATGATAAGCCTATTATTGATCAGATTCATGCTTATGAGAGTGTTTGTATTAATATGGCTCCTGAAGATCTGTCTATTTGTGATACTACCCTTGCTATTGTTTTGATTGAGAAACTCCCTCCCTCTTGGAAGGATTTTCGTAACCAACTCATGCACAAAAAGAAAGACCTAACCTTAGAGGAGCTTGCTGCTCACCTCAAAATTGAGGAGGAAAACCGTATCAAAGACAAAAACCCTTATGTTTTTCCTTCCTCTTCCTCTTCCTCTACCAAAGCCAATCTTGTTGAACCCAAACACAACAACCAGTCCAAAGCCAATAACAGTTCTCTTAAGCCTAAAGGGAAGGTTCAGAAGTACAAGTTTAAGGGTACTTGTTTTGAGTGTGGTTTGACTAGTCATAAGGCTAAGGATTGCAGGGTCAAGAAGTAGAACAATGGGCAAAGTCAAGCAAATCTTATTGAGGATTCTGACGTTATTGTTGCTGTTGTTTTAGAAGCTAACTTTACAGGTAATGCTGCTGAGTGGATTGTTGACACTGGAGCTACCAGACACATCTGTGCCAACAAGGACATGTTCACTACCTATGACAAGGTTGAAGGTGAAAATGTTTTCATGGGCAACTGACAGGGTAAAGTCGTATCCCCTAATCAAAAATAATTACCTAAATCACTAACTAAGGTAGAGAGGGAAGTAGGGTCGATCTCCACAGGGAAACCAGTCTTTTTACTCCTAATTTATTAATATAATCTAAACTATTTAAGTAACCAATATTTAAAGTTGAATAAGAAACTAAACTAAAAAGAGTAGGAATAGGGAGAAAATAATATATAAAGGATCTAGGGCATAGGTTCACCAATAAATAATACTCCAGGGTAAATCAGGGTAATCAATCATTGACAAGGCATAGATAACATGATTAACAGGCTCTCGCAATTTATTAATCAACATAGATCTAACAGGCTCTCGTAATTTACTAGATCTAAGTTCTTATTGAAAATAGCCTTTAATATCAAATTAACATCTGCTCAATTCATCAATTTAATATTGCTATACTTTTACAAGCCGCAATAGTAAAACATTAAAACAATCCAATAAGAAATTATCATGCAATACTAATAATCAATAATAGTCAATCATCAATGCATCAATTAAAGAGATTGTAAAGGGCTCTCGCTACTTATTACAATCACACAATTAATTTACCGGTATTAAATCTCATCTCTCGAATCTTGACTTAACCATTTACAAATTAACTTGCCTATTGAAACTAGACCTAAACATTAATTATCATCTCTCGATTCATGAATCAATATTGTCAAACTCATGCATAAAAGATAGGCCTAATCTAGTCACAGAGCATTAATTCAATCAATAGGAAATTAATCTAGCATTGATAATCAACAACAATAATTTACCCCTTCATATTATTTATTAGATCCCCATAAACCCTAGAAATTAAACTACTCACACATAATAAAAACTAAATTAATCAAAGTAATAAAATAAATCATGATCAAAGGAATAAAATAAATAAGATTAAAGGAAGAGAAATCGTTACCAAAATAAATCTGGAATTAATGAAAGAAATAAGAACAAAGGTTTAGAGAGAGAGTAAGAGAGAGAAAAACTAAGTAGAGAGAGAAAATCTAAGGGAGAAGATCTAAGAGAAGAGGTCGAAAAACTAATTATTTTGTACAAAAAACGTATTTAAAACTAAAACTAAAACAACTCCTAATTAGAAACTAATTGCTCGACAAAAGTGCTTCCCCATAAACACGCGCCCGATCGGGCTAGATGCCGCCCAATCGGGCGCGCCTTTTTCTCACATAGGTCTTCACACAGCACCGCCCGATCGTGCTAAGCCTCGCACGATCGGGCGCGCCTTGGGCCACGCACCAGCACACTGCGCATCTTGCCCGATCGAGCTAAGCTTGCCCGATCGGGTCCTTGTAGCTCCTCGAGGCTTTGGACTTCCGATTGGGCTCGACTCCTCAGCCCAATCCGGATCTCCTCTTCGGGTCTTGAATACTGGGTCCAAACCTCGGTATTTCAAATACCGAGCCCTTAATCACCGGCTCGATGGCTCTAGCCGGCCTTGGACTCCAAAAGTGGTCGTGTTCCTCCAATGCTCGTAGTTGCTTCATAAAAATCCCGGGAAAATGCTCCAAAGGTGCAATTCCCTGCAAAACTCAACCAAAACTACGAAAACACTAGAAAACACATATTAGTAATAAAAGTGGCCCTAAAGAGCCAAAAACACTACTAATTATGACCAAGGGACGGGGGTAAAATACTATATAAAATAGACATATCAGCAACTCAACTTCTGCTTCTATCCAAGGCAAAGGGAAGAATGTTCTCTCTCTCACTTCTGAAAAATTGCTTACTCTGACTAATGTTTTGCATGTTTCAGAAATGCGCAGGAATTTAATTTCTGGAAGTTTACTCATGAAAGCTGGACTGAAGCTCTCTTTTGATTCTGATAGATTAGTTCTTACTCGCAATGGGGAATTTGTGGGAAAAGGCTTTTGTAATGGGGGGCTTTTTACTCTTGATGTTAAAATTGACATTATGAATAAGAATGCTAGTACTTCTTCTGCTTATATTGCTAAGTCTATTGATTTATGGCATGCTAGATTACGTCACGTTAATATTGATTCTATTAAAAGGCTTAAAAACTTAAATTTGATTCCAAGTTTTTTCAACACTGATTTTTCGAAATGACAAATTTGTGTTTGATGTGTCTATTTTATATAGTATTTTACCCTTGTCCCTTGGTCATAATTAGTAGCATTTTTGGCTCTTTAGAGCCACTTTTATTACTAATTGGTGTTTTCTAGTGTTTTCGTAGATTTGGTTGACTTTTGCAGGGATTTATACTTTTGGAGTATTTTTCCGAGATATTTTGGAGCAATCACGAACATTGGAGAAGCACGACCAGAGTTTATAGCCCAGGGCCGGTTAGAGCCATCGAACCGGTGATTAAGGGCTTGGTATGTGTGATAGCGGGGCATTTGGACCGAGTATTCAAGACCCAAAGAGGAAACCCAGTTTGGCCCGGAGAATTGGAGCCCAATCGTAGTCCAAATAGTGGCCCAAGAGAGTCGCCCGGCCAAAAAGGCTGGCGCTCGGAGGCGCGCCCGGCCGGGCGGGAGAAGCAAAGGTCGGCGCCCGGCCAAAGAGGCTGGCGCTCGGAGGCGCGCCCGGCCGGGCGAGGGAAGCAAAGGCTGGCGCCCGAAGGCGCGCCCGATCGGGCGGTGCGGGCGCGTGTTATTGTTAGGAGACGATTAGCATCGTTTAAGATTGTTTTAGTTTAGGATTCTTAAGGAGTATAAATACTCCTCCGTAATACGTTTTTACCACCTCTTCTTCTCCTCTTTACTTTCTTTACTCTCTTAATTATTCTCTTAGAATTCTCTCTCTAAACCTTTGTTCTTAATTCTACTTTTAATTCCAGATTTATTTTGGTAACGATTCCTCTTCTCTTAATCTTAGTTATTTATTCTATTCCTTTAATCATGTCTTATTTTATTGCTTTTATTTGTTTAGTTTTTAATATGTGTGAGTAGTTTAATTTCTAGGGTTTATGGGGATCTAATAAATAATATGAAGGGGTAATTTATTGTTGTTAATTATCAATGTTAGATTAATTTCCTATTGATTGATTTAATGCTCTGTGACTAGATTAGGCCTATATTT